CTAATCTAATATTTTCCCAAAATCTGCACAGTGACGTGGTGATCTTCAGTTGCGAGGTAGCTAGTTCGACCGACTTTTGAAAGAGAGGAAGAAAAAGAGTACGATGGACAGTGAGAGGACAATTGAAGAGGCCACTGAGAGAAAATAAACTTCTATCAAAAAACGGCCACGAGTGTCAGTTGCCCTCGGACGAGCGCCGACCGAGGCGTCATTTGTCGACAAACGAAAAGTGGGGTTGTTGCTGTGTGGCGGAGTGCTTTGCGATACAACACGCAATTAATTTGCTTTTGTTAAATTGGTTGTACGCAACAGTTCCATTGGCATATGTTGATCTGTGAAAAAAAAAAATTCGTTAAAAATCAGGGGCTCGCCGTTCACCTTTCATAAACTACGACCCGGGCCCCACGGATTTATCACGAAGGCTCGGTCGCCCGGTAAAATATTACCAGCTCGGGAGACGAGAGACAGTGATACTTCCACACGTTACAAACACACGTTCAATTGCCCCGGACACAGGATACTTCCCTCTTTCCTTCTCGTAGGAAAACCGACGCCACCTTACTAAACTGTTGTATTATGAGATACAAAAGTGCTACACCCAGTAAATGCTGTAGCGTAACACACGTTAGTGCTACATAGCACATGTGAGCTATATTTAGCGGGTCGGGATGGAGTTGATACTCGTTTTACTCTTTTGTGTCTGGACATTGAAGAAGAAAATTCTCGAGGAGACAGGGGGTGAACAATTGACATAATTACCTGGACAAACTTGAGCAATAGTCATATTTTCTGTGGACAGGTGTTGGAGTTTGTCAAGTGTGAGGTTTGAAGTTGATACAGGTTCTGGTTTCTCGAGTTTCCCTGTGGTCTTTGTTTTAACATCAGGCACGTGGTCCGACCCTTCTGATTTAGACGTTGATCCCATTCGTCGAACCCACTTCTTTAGTTGACACCTCGTTAATAATCTTTTACCTTTGCTTCTGTATGATTCTTCCTGATGACGTATTAGAGGGAGCTAGACCCGAAGGTGCGGTCTAGAGTGGGCGCAGCCCAGTTTATACTAAGTGGCTTCTTTGCCGCTCGTTTGTAGGTCTTGGTGTGTCCCCCCTGGATCAGTTACTGACGTCTCTCGACCCTGGTTCATTTCGTTGTTTCCGATGGTAGGCGGCATTGTGTGATGCGCGGTCTCCCTGAGTTTAGGACACGTCACGGGTCTGCACAAGGGGGACGAATTCTCAGGAATAGAATGTACATTTTTGTCAAAAACGTCAACTAAAGACCCCCACTATACCCATACGTTGTTCTATAAGTTCTTACATACAACAGACAAGAAATTAAGTATGACTCTATTATACATTTTTTTCCGTTTTTATAATCCAGGTTATTTTTTCTTGAACGAGACCTTCGTCGGTAAAGCACTGCATGCACACCAAGGCGACGGCGACAGACTAGGGACCGACGGCAGGCCTAGCTGTCGGTTCACGCGCGCGGTCGCTCTCAGGTGTTTGCTTTTTACCCGCAGTCTTACTACACACTACAAATGCGTAGTCTTTTCGATTATCGCCGCCCCATAAACCGTGTTAAACTGTCTTGTTATAAACCACACCCTGCTACGCTGTCACTCTGCTTACTTAGACTTGCTAAAGACGGCGGAAAAAATGTGGTCTTTATCTCCCGGATCTGGCATATCCAAGCTCGGTCGTTTTTGGCTACCGTGGTGGCCGGAAGAGAAACTTTGTACTGTCGTTTAGAGGGCTAACGCACACAGTTGGTAGGAGGCACGAGTGGTAACTGGGATCGAAAGCCCTTTAGCACTATGGTTGTCTGTTTGGGAGCCTCCTATTTGTGAGTGGGATCATATGCTTCAACCGTACCCGTAGGTCGTGTTACGAGGTGAGCACATCGCTCGACTTCGATGGTCCTCAAGAGTCTTGGTGTGACTGCAGGGCTGTGGTGCGGTGGTTCGTCGACCGTTCACTTAGGTCTGACACGACACTCGGGAATGTCTATGCGCACAGGAACGTCAACACACCACACACACACCACACACACACACACACACCACACACACACCACACACCACACCACACACACAAACAACACAAAAACAACAACAACACACACACACACAACCACAAAAATACTTGCCATTTTGGTACACGACGAGCACACCACACACACACAACACACAACAGCAAATCGCTCTGGGCGGTTACACGACTACACACAGCACTAGTCACGCGACGACACACACACACATGACTAACTCAGCGACACTACTTCACCGACAAGCACACACACCCTTTAGGAACCACTTTTTTGAACCTGTTTGAGCAAAACAAACAACACCCACACACTCTGATAAAGATCTGGTCGGAACGGAAGCGGTCTATGTTAACTCCCAAACTGTACTGCACATCTCTTCCGAGGCTACATTAGGTGTTTTCTGGACAGTTTAGATCCCAACTTACCAGTAGCCAAAGCAAAGAAATAACTTTACATACTGATCGAGCCTCCGTATAGACTCGACCCAACGAAATGAATAGAGGTCTTCCGTCAAGAAACGTAAAAAACAATATACGTCTCAGGTTGGGAATCGCCAGACCTTAATAACAACAAAACACACACACACACAAAAAACACCACACACACACACCAACACACACACCACACCACACACAACACACACAACACCAACACACAAACCACCACTACGTTTGCAAAAAGGAAGAAATAAAGTGGACATTTAACACACTAGACAAACAAACAACAATAATGGACACATATTCACAAGATATTTTTTCAATCACATCAAACACACTAATTTCACAGAAGATTATGATTCGAAAATTATAAAAGTAGGGTAGACATGTGGATATTATCCGGCTGAACAAAACGTGCATTTATCAAACAGGTTTGTTTTCCACAGACCTTATTTCCAGCTATTTTCCAAAACCCTATGGAGAAATCCCATTGCTTTTTTGTCGAGGGAACCAGCAGCTTACTTCCTGGTTTTAGGACGCGTCACTGCACCTTTCAATATGATGCCAATATAAACAAGGTCTTCTGTCGGCTGTGTACATCAATGCCGACCTATGCTGACAAGTAAGTGAAGAGCAGACAATATAAAAGGTATTGGCTATAGGGAAATGTCCCAGCAGTTTAGGAGAATGAAGGTTCTAATCTAATCTAATACATAGCCATTACATGTCTAACTCCTGATAATGACAGGAAGACAGAAAGCGCATTATACTAATAATAATAATAATAATAATAATACTACTCATAATAATAACAGACATTTTTGAACAATGGCCACAATATCATTATTTTAATAAACCAAATATGAACAATTGAGGAAAATGAGGAAGAACTGATGATTCAAATGTTGTAGTACAAGTAGTAATGTAGTTAGTGCATAAATTACTATTGCAACAAATGTGTTAATTTTCTTCATTATTAGTCGATTTTTTTAATGCAGACATATGTTGCAGGGACTACTAGAATCATCATACTGGCGTGACTGTAAACATCAAGGGGTTAAATTTAAAAAATGTATTTGTTTTAGAGGACATTTCAGAATATCGCGATATATATCGTATATCGCGATATCGTCAGTAAATATTGCGATATCATTTAGAGACCATATCGCCCAGCCCTAAGTTGAGGTATACCTAGGATGAAAATGACAGGCCTCTCTCATCTTTTTAAGTGGGAGAACTTGCACAATTGGTGGCTGACTAAATACTTTTTTGCCCCACTGTATGTGTGTGTCACGTTCTAGCCACTTTTTGATCTCGGCCACATTACTTTCTACTCTCACCATGAGCTGTTATTGCTCCGCCCCCAGCCTCTGACGTATGTGTCTCTTGATGCTCTGTGCTGGCCAAGTTAAAAGTGATGCCTGATTTGAACCAGTTTTCGGGTCGAGTGGAAACACAAAACAATGATTCACAATCAGGGGCATCGCCTCCGAACTGTTCCTGGATCTGCCTCCGTGGAGAAGCTATCTGACTGTGTTAGCAGTACCTTTGGTGTCTTTGGTCTCCTGCTCCTTGAAGCGCTGGTGCAGCTTGCGTGTGTAGTTGCTGAGAGTTTTCATGGACTGATGGAGGATCTTGTACTTTGCTGTCACAGCTGTGTTGATGCTCTGCACCGCAGCATTCATCTGATCGTACGATACCCGTCCTCTCATGTACCTGATTGGGACACAAAGTATTATTTTTAACATAATCACATGGGTCACCATCATCATCGTCATGAAAAGAAACAGTAAAACTAACATGCTAAAAACAGTCTTGATATTCATGGAATTCAAGAGAGTTAGTTATCTTACAGCAGATCCAATGCAGGACGCGTAAAGCGTACAGAAGATAAGATGGGGCTTTATTTTTCCAAGTAGGGAAATTCGGGTGTCATAGCAGCAAAAGAATAAGAAAGAAACACAGGTAGTACTGTACACATGGGATAATAAGAATACAAATGTGCAGGTAGCCTCACGGTGAAAGTCTTGTGTACAATACAGTGCAAATATTATTAATATGAATAAGAATAAGGAACCCTTTCAAGATAAACTTTACACCATAAGATTTGTTTTGTATAACTGTCATACATAGGGTGGTGCACGATCAAGTTCTGGAAATGAGGCAGCATTTTACAACTTCCTGTTCCCTCATCTCGAAGTGAACGATTCTGAGAACGTGTTTTTAGTCAGGCCTAAAATAAGGTCTGTGGTAAACTCAAGAGATTTTCATGTTTTGTTCTACAACATAAAATACATCAGTCACTACCCCACTGGTTAACATCCGAATCTTCTATGCGTCTTAAAAACAGCGGTTGCTAACAAGTGATTGAATGGAACCACTAGATGTCATCACGCTGAACACTAGCCACCTTTAGCTTAGCAGTGTTGACGTAAGGTCATCTGACCCTGATGTAACTAACAATAGCAACATTAGCTTTTAATTTTAGCAATTGCACTTACGCTTCAACCATACATAAAAGTGGTGTCAACTTGTGGAGATTATTAAGTATAAAAATTCCAAAATCCTTTTTGTCAAGCGAGCCGATGTGATGCTAACTTCCGGGTTGCCCTACAAAAAGACATCATTACTGCACCACTCCATTCTTTCTTTATTGGTGGAATAACTGGTCGTATACTGGTTTTGAGTGCTCCGTTTGGTTATTAACAAATACGGTGCAGTGTAATTCCAAAAAGACCTTAGCAGAAATGTTGACATCAGGGTTAAATAATAAATATTATTCCTTCTGGACCTTTTTGGAGAAGATTCAGTAGTATTAGTAATCCCAATGTTATATTCTCAAAAAAACAGTGTTTAATATTTTTACTAAATGTTCTTGGATGGTTTACCCAAGCCTTATCAAGTCTTATTCACATCACTAGAATGCCAGCCTTGCAGGTTTAGCCGAAACAATTATACATAAATAACTGTAGCAAATGGTTGCTTTCCAGAAAACTGATAAACAATATCTATCATATAATCCTATCATGGGGGGGTACTTACTGAGGGATGGTCTCAAATTCTGGCATGGTGATGACGTCCATGCTTCTGATGCAGCTCTTGTTGCTCTTTCTCACAGGCTGCTGCTGCTGCGCTGGCTGAACAGCTTCACCCTGCTTCAGAGCAGCTTCCCCCCCACTGTGACCCGACAGGGACACAGGCAGGACAGTCAGGCTGTTTCCAGAGTAGACTAAAAAGCTGCCACTCTGTGTTAAACTAAATATTTCCTTTATGTAATAGTTCATTGACTTTTTTTTTACTAAAGAATTACTTTCTCTAACTGCTATTTCTACAAGCTTCATTTATTGATGTTGTGATGCAAGTTTTTACCTTTATTTTACACAAACAAAAGTATTCTATGTCTCAAAAAGAAGTCTATATACTGTTATACTTGCTATTGCAAAATGATTCAGGATTTCGGAGGTAGCGCTCCTTTTTCCATAATCTTTTGTAATTATCATTGAAAGATGTATAAGGGTGGGATTTTTCAAGACGATCTGTACCTAAGATATTTTTGTAGGTTTGTAGGAATGAATTTGTAGGCCAGGACATCATGCTGCATTTTGATCCTCAATTCAGAAACATGTTTGACATCTTTGTCTAGAACAATTACGGCCTTTATTGCCATTTTAATATTGTCCATATTGCTATTTTGATAAATGATGATTGATGAATGGTGCAGCCCTGTCACTGAGCCGTCTGTATTCCATATTCAAAACACAAGAGATCAGATAAAAGTCCTCACTTTGCCGGGCCTCTCTTCTTGGGCATGTGAGCAGGAACGTTGTCCTTCATGTGCTGAACACCCCCCACATTCTCCTTGAATGACTCCTCAAGTTCCTGAAACAAAATAAACGACTATTACGTTGGATTGAGGTCTTTTTTTTCTCCTTTTTTGAAAGCCCTTTAAAATGCTCTATATAATAATTGAATCATCATATATTAATACCATAGTATGTACAGTGGCAAGCAAAGTAAGTGTACCCTTTGGAATAACCTGCATTTCTGTATACATTTGTCCCAAAATATGGTCTGATCTTCACCTAAGTTACAATCTGTTTGAACAAATAGCACACAAATTGATACTTTGTTCTTGTCAAACATTGTTCAAACATTCACAATGTAGGTTGGAAAAAGTAATGTAAATAAAAAATAACACAAATATGAATCAGAAAACACAATAAGAGCCCTTTACTGTTTAATACATTTATATAATATATTCTACTTAGATCCAAAACGCATTATGTTTAAACATCATATCTTTCTTACATGATGGACTCAAGTGCACTTGTTATTTAATGTGCAATGCCCATTCTTAAATACATTGAATACAATGGAAAAGACAGTATAGGCTGATAAATGGATGACAGCAGCGTTACCTTCAGATGCCTCAGCTTCTCTCTCTGCTGACCAACACATTTCTCAAACTGCTCCAGAAGTGCCCCCACAACCGACAGTTCTTGTCCAAGCTTCTTTATCTTATTTTGAGGGAATTCTAAATGTGAAGAGAAAGGGCACAATGACACATTTTTATAACACTATTTCAGCCTTCCACAGAAACACAGAACCCCATCAGCATCGTACCGACAGCCGCCAGGTCCAGTATGCTGCGCAGCGACGAGATCCTGTCATGGATGTGGAGGCTGACATCCAGCAGATCACACATGTTGCTGGAAGAAAGACACATTACATTTTCAGTACAAATAAAAACACTTCCCAGCTACAATTCATTGATAAAAGTTAATAGGAATACTTATACTTTATACAAGGTTTGTGTGGTAATATGTAAAATAACCTGGCTTGGGAAATAACGGATTACATGTAATTTGGGCAGCTGTGGCTAAGTGGATAGAGTGCCGGACTTCGAATCAGGGGGAAAAATGTCTTTGTGTCCCTAGGCAAGACACTTCACCCCAAATTGCTCCTGTGGGGATTGTCCACAGTATTGAATGTATGTAAGTCGCTTTGGATAAAAGTGTCTAACAAATGACATAATGTAATGTAATGTGATTATTAGGGTACAAAAAAAGGTAACGTATCCCATTACGAGCTATACGACATCTTACCTTATCTGATTTGTTGTCTAATACTTGGAATAGGTATGTTTACTGCCCTAATTTCCTTTTTGGCTTCCATTTACTTACTTCATTCTTTTTTTATACGATAAGTGGACACCTAATGTTTTGTTAATTAATTAATGGCTACATCTTTGCTTTTGAAGTAATGTAAAAACATTTTTTCTTAGATTAGGTTTACTGATTACATGTTTTTAGTTGTAGTAATATTAGTAGTACTAGTAATTACATGTCATGTAATTGTAACGAAATAAAATTTTAGAGTTATTCTCACTCCCCTTACTTATAGAACTTTCATCTGTGTAAAAAATAAAACTCTGAACGCGTTTTAAGCAGTTGTTGTGTTAACTTCTCAGTAACTTGGTAAAACGTACTGCCAGTAAAACAAAAACATCAGTAAATCTCCCCTTATGAAGAATACAACAAATCAGGACCAATATTTAATTCAGGTTTCCCTTTACTTTGATGCTCAGCCTATTGAGATGTGAAGTTTTATTCGGTCAGTGTAGTGAGCTAACAGCTAACAGCTACTTCTTAATGTTAGCTATCAGGTAAAAACAGATACCATTACTATGTCAGACACTAACACAACTATCTGTGTGTAAGTGACACTTAAAGTGTGTTTCATGAAGATAACTTACACAGCTTGTGTTTTCAGGCTGACAGCTTCTTCTTCTTCTTCTTCTTCCCGGTTCCACAGCAGTTTGAAAATTCTCCTTCTTCTTTGTTTTTATCTCAGGCAGACTTGTCGGATGGCGGCACAGTGCTGCCCTCCAGTGTCGGAGGCGTGAAGCTGCTCTTCATTAGGTTCGACCAGAGCCATATAAAGAGACCAAGAAACCATAGTTTTAGTTATGTAAATTGTAAACCCTGTAATGATGCTGTAAGATGTCCTTTTTGTTGTTCTGTTTATGTTTTTATGTTTCATGTGGAACCTACTTGAGCAGGTCTCCCTTGAAAAAGAGATCAATGATCTCAATGGGATACACCTGGATAAATAAAGGTTTGAAACGAAATAGACTTTTAGATATAAAAGTTCACCCCGAAACACTATTTGTCCTCCTTCATTTGCTGTTTCACAGAGGTGGGAGAAGTACTCAGATATTGTCTTGTACTTGGTACAAGTATAAGTAGCAGAGTGTAGGAATACTCTGTTACAAGTACAAGTCCTGCATTCAAATTGTTACTCAAGTAAAAGTACAAAATAATTAGCATCAAAATAAACAAAGTAAAAGTACTCATTCTGCAGATTGGTCAATTTCAGAATATATGATATGGTTTAATTTAATTATTGATCATTAAAGTGTTATCAAAGCTGGTAAAGCAGAGTTGTCATGACTTTGTATACTGCAGGGTAGCTTAAGAGTTGATTATATTTCACATCATTAATCCAAATCTGTAAAGTAACTAGAAAATGCATTTCCTGCAGAAAATGTGTGCGAATTCTGTAAACTGTGAACATTTGTTGCTGAATTTAGTTGAAAATGCAGAAAAAGCTGAATATGTTATTAGGGGGTAGGCGTGTGGTGCAGTGGGTTGTGCGTTGGTGTTCGGATCAGTGTTGGTGCGTTGGTGTTGGTGTTCGGAGCAGTGGGGTTGTTCAAACCCCACTGCTAATCCTTGGCTGCTTCTGGTCTCTTGGCCGCCTAGCAGGCTCATAATTATAATCATATGCAATCGAATATATATTTTCAACCTCTTCTGTGTCAAAACTAGCATTGTGATCCATGTTTATTAATACGTTACCGGCCGCTCTCCCCATGTGACGTCACACGCGGGAGGTCACAGGCGGGAAGTAAAAATGTCTTGCAAAAACGACGCCAGATGTCACTGTAGTGTGTATTTATGTATATTTCTTTTGAAAATCTAGTGTTTTCATCATTTTCCTACACATTTATTCACTGGTGTCTCTAACCTGCAAGTTGCTCTTTAAGGGAACATTGGTAAAAAGTGGCATCTACCGATAGGGACCAATAATTTACGGAAGGCTTACCATTTTCTGGCCTTCTGAGTGACAGAAGCCCTGCCGATAACACAGGCACAAGGGAAACAGAGAAAGGTACAAAGGATGCAAGAGGAAAGAAAAACCTTGGGAAGTAAATGTAGTGCAGCTGTGGACTTTCTGTCTGTGGACAGAATTTGGCAACTTACTAGCAACTAGCAAGATTCGTGCAAAAATCTTTCCAGATGTACTTGAGACTAGGCATGGGCGGTATCATTTTTTTCATACCGTCATACCTTGCTGACATCATACCGTGGTATACGGTATATGACGGTATCAGTCCCAATTTAAGGGGTAATTTCTCCCAAAAGATTTTTTTTTACTCACTATATCAACAGCCCCACCAAAAATATTTTCCACCAGCCGCCACTGACGGTATGACTTGGGTCGACTTGAGTGAGGTGGCGTTCGGCGGCAAATAGATGTTTCGAACGGTATATTATATGTTCGGTGTAAAATGCAGCCCGAGCCGGTAGACGCTCGCAAAGTGCCGCGACGTGCGCGCAAGTGCAAAACAAGGGCTGCATACATGACACATTGTGCAAATGGCACATTTTGAGATCGGATACAGGACGCGTTTGTAGATGTTCGACGTTGTTTCCATAGTGAGCTAAGTTAACAATATATCATCATACATAAACATTTTCCGGGAGTAAATACTTGACTTATTGAATAAAGTTTGCTATATTCACTAACTAGTTTGGCAATATTATTCCGTGCATGTGTTAAAAACCTTATTTCCATTTGATTCATTGGATTACTCGCGTGAATGTTTAGCACGTAAATGCTTTCGTTTTTAAAACCGTCCGACCTCGACTACAAAACCATCAACCAGTTGCATAGGATTAAAAA